GTGGTACTGGAAGACCAAGAATACGTCGAGCATTGACGGACTTCCTGGGCTGCAGAACGCATTTTGTTCGACCAAGATATTCGACGAGAAGAACGTCAAGAAGGACTGGGGAAAGGATGACGAGCGGCTCTCGACGGGACCGAAATGGGAAGGACGAAGATGGTTGGATCCGAAGATGATCATGGGCTTTATATTGGGCGTGGTAGTGTCAGCGCTGTGGATGAATCTGGTTGGCTCAGTAGGATTGAAATTGAAGTCCTGGTGAAGAGGCGAGGCCTTCGAACATGGCGTACGTTTCTGCGTGTCATCTACTTCGAATTCCAAGCTAACATTTCAATGCTCAGGAAGTTGTATGAACAGGTTACCATTTTACACACATTCAGAGACCGCAAATTTGTACCATCCCAATACTCTGGAATGCGATGTATTTGTCAGATTCGTACGCTGTTCGCCTTTTCGCACTGTCCCAGACCGACCTGTTACAGGGCTTGAGGCACATTTTTAATTTCTTTCCTTCTATGTCTCGAATTACACATGCTGACCATATTCCTTGTGACGATTTTGCAGGTGCAATACTTTATTTTCCCATATATTAATACAGTGCGTTAAAAATAGCCATAAAGCCCTTTTCCTTGACGTATCCTTATCGTTCCCATATGGTCTAGCGCATCTCGTGCTCGCGCCCCGATACTCGCCAACTTGTCTCTCGGGCCCCTATATAACGCATTCACAGCAGGGCGCGAGTCGGATTCAATACTCTCTCGGCCCTCCACGATGAGCCCCGTTCTACTATTTGGACGCCTCCTGGCCTTCATCGTTATCTCTTGGGTATCAGCTGTACTACCAGCGCGTGCAACTCCAGTTTCTTCCCCTACCTTGACACGGTTCACCTCGACCGTTAACCCGGACGTTTCTATCCGCTTCGTTTCTGATTCTGGCGTCTGCGAAACCACCCCAGGGGTGCACCAGATGTCCGGATATATCGACGTTGGAACGAATATGTCAATGGTGCGTTTATGTTTGGAGCGTTCCATGAGCTTATTTTTGTGTTCAATATCCCGCCTGCGAACAGTGGTTCTGGTTCTTTGAAGCCCGGAAAAACCCTGACACTGCGCCATTTACCCTTTGGTACGGATCGCATTTGCTTTCGTGTTGGGTTCAAACCTAAGTATATTAACTCGCGAAGGTTGAACGGCGGTCCTGGGTGTTCTTCCATGATTGGCCTCTTCCAAGAAAATGGACCTTGCACAGTCAACGCAGATGGCGCGACGACGACTCTCAATCCTTTTAGGTAACCGTATTTTGCTGCGAGTTCGTGCTCTTAACTAAACTGAAATAAATATGCACGTTAATAGTTGGAATAATATCAGTAACAGTGAGCAGTCATCGCATTTCTTACTATTATTCTTTTGGTTCTGATACTTCACGCACGCAGTGATCTACATTGACCAACCCATCGGAACTGGATTTTCGTTCGGAACCGACAATGTTAACAGTACACAATCAGCAGCGCCTTTTGTATGGCAAGCTTTCCAAATCCTATTCGAGAGTCAGGCGTTCAGCAAATTCAGTACGCGGGAGTAAGTTATCGCACGCTCATATGTATCATTTGGTGCCCGAATTGACGTATTCTTTCCCGAAGGTTTATCCTTGCAACGGAAAGCTACGGTGGACATTACGGCCCAGCTTTCGTCACTTTCTTTGATCAACAGAATGCACTCATACAACAAGGTAAGCTCCAGGGCGAGCTCATCAATGTCAGCGCCCTCATGATCAACAAGTTGCGTTTGTCATCCCTTTCCCTCTCCTTCCTTACTACTAACTCCTCTCGACTCATAGTGGATGGTATGACCCACTCATTCAGAATAAGGCCTACGTCGTCTTCGCCACTAACGCGCCGGGATATGGCCAACTCCAATCAGACGCTGTTTTGGCAAAGCTCAATCAATCATATTTCGGCTCTGGGGGATGTAGAGATCAGGAATTGGCCTGCTATGCAGCCGGGACCGGCGCGCAATCGAATAAAATATGCAAGAAGGCGGATGATTTTTGCGTGGGTACTTTCCGCATGTTACGATGACTCTCATTTTTTTTCCCCTAAAATCGCAGATTACCAATGTTTTCGTGCCCGCCGTAGGCGACCGTGATTCTGACGATCTGAGGCAAAACTCGTCGGCACTCTTTCCTCCAGAGTTTTACGTGAACTACTTGCACACGCCAGCGATACAAAATAAAATCGGGGCGGAAACTAGATACCAGGAGTGCCCAGATGCTCCATTTAATTTGTTCGTTACCACTGGAGATGTGAGTGGTTAAACTGTCTTTGCCTTCGATCTATGTACAAAGTATTAAGGCACGCTCTCCTCTAGGATGCAAGGACCTTACTTCCTCAGCTTGGAACTTTGGCGAACTCCGGGTTGAAGATGCTGATCTGGGTGAGTAACGTGCGAAGTTTAGAAGATACAGTCTGCTCAAATGTCATCTCAAGGCCGGAGACGCAGATATAAAGTGAGTCTACACAATTTGGATTCGAATTAGCTTCTCAAAGTTTTATCCTCAAGCTGCAATTGGCTGGGTGGTCATGCTTCCGTCCTGGCTATGGATTGGTTTGGCGCCCAAATGCTCGCAAATACTCCGTTCACGAATATGACCATTAACGGAGCACCGGTAGCAGCGATACAAAACGTTGCCAAATTTTCTTTTGCGTGAGTTCTGGATCCGTATTGTGGCTGTTCCCTTCTGAAACGGATCTGTGTAGACGTGTGTATCAAGCTGGTCACGAAGTGGTGAGTTAGAGCGAGCTCCGTACTCGTCGATTTAATTATAACATAGTCTTGTAGCCCGCATTCCAGCCACAAGCAGCTTTCGAAATATTCAAGCAGGTTATCAATATGGAGCAGCTACATTCAGTCGTTGTGTAGGAGAAGTAATCTTAAGTCTGAAGGGAATGGGCCTCATCGAATGAAAGAATTTATGGGAATTGAAACCAGTGCGATCTATCGCTTTACACTGGATACTTTGGATGAGCACTAAGCATTTTGCGCCTTAAAAATAGAAGATCCTGTTATCCGAACGTGGCAACCAAACTTCCTTTTAACTTCCAGGTGGCAACTTGAAGCAATGATTGGCTTCGGGATCCAGGTATTGCACCGACCTAGACGGGTTTAATGAGAACCTTTGGGACCCGGCCCTCCCTCTTATACCCCCTCCTTTCCTTAACAGAATTGATCCCTCTCCTTTCAGATGTCGCTCATCCCAGGTCCAGATGTATACCTCGAGTTCAGGATGTTGGGGACGATCATTTCAGCGATTGCCTATGGCATTGTGATTTCACTCTCTGGAAATTGCTTTCTTCTCCTGTTGAAGAAACGGGGGATATATTCCACTCGCATGCGGCTTTTCCTGCTCACATACGTTGCAGTCATGCTCCTCCTCAGTACCTTGGCGACAATCATGTCAATTTGGGGGATTACATTTGTACTATTCCAGGGCGTCGACTTACCCAGTCCGCATTTCATCAGCTCACCTCTTCTTGACGTGTATTCACCGACTGCGCTTCCGCTGACCATCTGGGGAGCAGATGGTTTCATGGTGAGTATGGTTATCTTCCGCCAGAATGAACAATTCCGAGTCCATAGCATTGCAACTGCAGATATGGCGCTGTGCCGTCTTGTATCAGGATGTAGCTAGGGTCCCTAGGTTTATTGTCCTTGTCCTGCTCTCATTCCTTTCAATCAGTTCGTTAGGTGTGTAAGGTTTTCGTCACATTTATTGCACTTCCTATTGCTCATGAAGCACAAGCATGCGGTGTGATGATGTTTCTTTCTCTCACCGCTGATGATATCCTTGCAACGGTGCTCATATTATTCTCAACTCTTGTCAACATCATACTCGCGGCGCTGATCATCCTCCGACTCATTCACCATCAACGACACATCCGGAAGGTTCTTGGAGCGCAACATGGATCCCCCTACTCAAAGATTATCACAATGTGTGTCGAATCTTCAGCATTGATTGTCATCTTCAGTGGCGTATACAGCGTCATATCTCTCGCGGAGGCGGACGGTCCATCTGAGTTAATCCCCTTCTTACTTCTCCCCCATATTTGCGTGGGTGGCCTAAATCCCCAACTGTTGCGCATCTGAAGTTTTCTTGTCTTTTAATGCAGGTTATCTCGCCCCTGCTCATTGTCTATCGCGTCGCTAAGGGCCGCGCGGTGACCACAACCCTACATCCGTCGGAGGAAGTGACTGCCCAGATTCGCTTCAACGATCAACCCTCAAGTCGTTCCAATCAAGAGGAAGGAGAAGCGTGACACGATTTTAAATTTGTTCTAATAATATTCCACCACCTCCGCTCCCAAGGCCCATAAACACTTGGGCATAGTCGTATCCGAATCTCATCCATTCTGACCTAACCACTCCCGATGGACGTCATTCTCCTTCAATCTGTCCAGGCCTATATATATTACCGATTATGTGGGAAGATAACCTGAGGTGTGAAGCATTTATGGGCAAGTAAGAAGTGTCTCTGAGGGATCATGGGATTAAGCGCTCATCGGTGATCGATCGTCTTGCACACTTCAATTTTCTCAACAACGGCACCATGTCTTCTGGCTTATCTCAAACCGAAGTGTAACTTCGGGAACAATACCGAGCATAAGAAAGAAATCCACCAGCGGTCGAGGTACGTCCGGACGCAGTCCGCCTGGCGGGGACTTGGCACCACACTATCAATTCCCCATGCAGGAATATATCGCCGGTTGTGGAACGCTTGTGGAACGTTATGGTCCACTTGTCCTCGATGTTAAACCTTCTGACCCTCCAAAAATATACAAACTTGTAAATGCTCTCACATCCCTTATTCCATGAGGTGCTTAATTTACATATATGTATATATAAAAGGAACAAGTAAAGATCATTCAAGGTCTGGTAGTGCCTTGCATATCTTTTATAAAAAAGATGTATTTGACGGATGCCATATTTATCCCCACATCATAGCTCTCTGTCTGGGAGTCGAACCCAGCTTTCGCGCGGTCACTATATACATGCAGCTCCGAGCTGGTGAATGACAGGCGCGTGTACTAACCGATATACTAACAAAGAGATACAACGTCAACGTCCTGCGAGCCCGAATCGAGTCTTGACTTCGACGTGCAGACCAGATGGCGTGGAGAACTATGTACATTTGACTCGGCAGTTCTCGTCCGGTGGCGTGCCAGCCAGTGGGTTTCTACTCCATCAACCCCAAGCCCCTTCCTTGCATATTATACTTACATTTTTTGTACAAAAAAAATGATCGATGGCAGGATGCATTAAGAGGGAATCGAACCCCCGGCGGGTCGAGCTAGATACCAGATTATTCCTAAGGTGGCAACGACCCAGGTTACCACTACCCCATTAATGCTCTGAGGGCTGTACTTACAACGGCCACAATCTGGAGGGCATACTTATGATGAGTTGAACTCGCGTTGAATGCCGACCGGTTGGATTTACTTTGTCGAGAAATACTGGGACTTCGAAGATGCAAATCCTCACGAATGGAAAAGTGGGAGTGTTAAGCGCCCAACTAACGCAACTCCAGAGAAACACCTAAAAGCCGGGATTGAGAGCAGCTTGACCGTTCAAACGGTAGGTCACACTTGAAAGCTTCAACTGCGTATTCGACTGCAACCGAAATAGCCTCATTGTCGTCATTTTTTGTGCCTAGTTCGTACAGGAGCAGTAAACGGCGTATAGGGTAGATCTATACCCAAGAAAGGTGACAGCATGGAGATCAGATGCAGGATTAATCATAGAAAACGAGAGCACGGAGCTCAATTGACTGCCTAAAAGGCGTTCCTTCCGGTGTACTGGGGTCGCTGAAGCCCGTATGTGGTGTGAACAATGCGACGCTACCATCCTGTTTCGAGTCGAAACTGGCAGATAAAATAGGGAAGGTAATCAGAACGTTTACATACAAGGACGATTATAATTTGGGAGGGAAACACACCATTTAATTAAAACGATCTCTTCAGGAGTCATCCCATGCAGGTACTTCCACTTGTGATTCGGATTATACTTGACCCCAAGCGTCTCTCCCTCCCGGTCGGGAAAGATCAACGCCATAGGGAAACTGTCGTTCTCAGCTACACTCCTATAATCGCACAATCCAAGAGGCCAATCGATCGCGGGGTTTACAATGGGTCTCCAGAGGTTGATAATCTGAAAACGACGCTTGAGGAGCTCTGGAGCTTCATCGGCTGGGAGGTGTCGGTGCACACGCGTGATGGCAGATTTGTTCGTTTGGTCGACGTGCACCTGCACTGCAGCCACTTTGCTTGCCCCCGTCAACGACTTGATGAGCTCGATACTTTCCGGATAGTATTCCCGGTAAATCTCTTGGTCATTCGCGAACGAATCGTGTTTAGATTTGTGGTTGAAGTACTGGAATCCAGCAGTGTCGAGCGTTACTGAGTCTTCCTTGCCCCGCAAGTTCTCAATGACCATATCTTTGCGTTCATGTCCAAAGTTCCTCTTCCGCTCGCCTGTTGTAGGATCAGCATCGCTAGTTTGGTAAGCTCGGACGCCTTGCTCGGGTTCGGTGAGATAAAGGAGATTCGCTGTGGTCGAAGTTGGGGTAGAGATAGCCATGCTTTGATCTGGAGACCTGCTCTGAAGCTGGGAAAATTTGTCGGTGATAATGAGATTATGCGAGTGGTGCTTCCCTATCACTTTATTTATTGCCCATGTTCGGCATGCAGATGACCTCCGGGAAAAATACCCGTCCATACACGTTGCCTCATCCTTGCATAGGATTCTTCAACCAGCACAGCCTTCTTAAGGAACCTTCTGGGAGGAGGGAGGACAATGGAAGAAAGGAAAAGTCGATTAATTATTATTAATTCCAATACACGAAATCGAGACGAATCATAGAAAATAAGAGATGACAAACTCGAGATTAATCGTAGAAAACAAGAGCGCGAAGCTCAATGGACTCTCGCAAAGGGGTCCCTTCAGGTGTGGTAGGGTCGCTGAAGCCCGTATGCGGTGTGAATACTGCGATACCAGCATCCTGTTTCGAATCGAAACTAGCAAACCAAAAGGCGTCAGGAATTCTCGAGAACGCGAGGAGGAGGGCCGACGCACCATTTTATCAAGACAACCTCGTCTGGAGTCATCCCATGCAGATACTTCCACTTGTGATTCGTGTTATACTTGATCGCAAGCGTTTCTCCCTCATGGTCAGGATAGACAAGCGCCACTGGAAAAGGATCTTTTGCATCTACACTCCTGTAATCACAAAGGCCCAGAGGCCAGTCGATAGCTGGGTTGCCGATAGGCCTCCAGAGATTGATGATCTGGAAGCGACCTTCCAGAAGTTTTGGGACATCGGCGGCTGGAAGGTGTCGGTGCACACGCGCGATGGAGGACTTCTTCGTTTGGTCGACATGCACCTGGGCCACCGGTTGACGGCGATCCGCACCGTCATCAAGTTGGCCTGGACGACGGCGACGAATGGCTGGGAAAGTAATCAATTATGAGTTTGACCATAATATTCGAGGATGTAGATGACTTACTATGGTCAAACAAAACCACTCGGCTAGCCCCTGTCAGCGACTTGATGAGCTCGATACTCTCTGGATAATACTCCTGGTGGATTTCCTCGTCGTTCGCAAACGAAGTGTGCTTGGATGTATGTTTGAAAAATTGGAACCCAGCAGTGTCGATGGTCACCGAGTCTTCTTTCCCGCGTAAATTCTCAACGACGACATCTTTGTTTTCGAATCCGTAGTTCCTTTTTCGCTCCCCTGTTGTTGGGTCGGCATTGACATGTTGGTAAGCTCGGACGCCACCTTCAGGTTCGACGGCGTATAGGAGCTTTGCTGTGGTTGTAGCAGGGGTGGATACGGCCATTTGTCAAGTAGATATGTAGTAAATCCAATGAGGAAAGATGTGGGAGATATGATGCGTCATTCCCGCGAGGTTTATATACAGGTGGCAAACGAAGGCGACTGAATCCATCGAGTCTGACGTGCTTGCTTAGAGAGCTCAAGCTGACTGGCCTCATCGCTGACTAACGGGTTGGCTTATATAGAAAATTTCATGGTGAAATTATTAACACACTTACAACACACTTACCTGCGCTCCAGAGCTTTCGCAAATTTGAAGTTGTAAAAGTCTAGATGTGGTGTCAATGGTGCAACAATCGGCAGTGGAAGGGTGAGGAAGCTGGGAATGGTGAAGAAGTGGTCTGAAGCTGAGCGCTTGCTTGCAAGCGGGGAAGTCTTGAACCGGCCGTAATAAACGCCTTGATATATTTGATCCGAGCTGCCACAGCCCTTAAAGCTTATTCAATCCTTAACTCACCCTGGTATCGCGAATCGCTTGACAAAAATGCAACAGAAATGATTTTCCATGGCACTTTCCTCGGCTCTAGTAAAGATATCGACATTCCTGAAACCATCACTTCAAGTGGCTTCGTCTCTAGGTTTATGACAGCGCTGCATCACTTACCTGGGAATTCATACAATCCCTTTCTACGCCCGCATACCACTTCCGAATGATGGACGGCCTGAAGGAGGAAGGACGCTAATGGATATTTTTGCGCGGCGTTTCATGAAACAGCACGATTCAAAGGATCAGATACATGTGCTGATGGAGACTGGGGAAGCGCTGCATTTCGATGGAACAGACACGGAATTTCTTGATGACTGTGGGCCTGGCATCAATGTAATACGATAACTTTGCCTAATTCTTAGTACACCTTCCACGAATGTTTTCCTGCAGCGCTCCGAAGCGGTAACACAAGCCCATCAATTATTTCAAACGCGCGCGTCACAAGAACACGGTAATTAGAGTCATAGAGGAAGTATCAGAACGGGACCAACGCAATGATGTGCTACGAAAGCAGATTAGGTACTAGGTAGCATAGAAGTACAAAAATAAAGTACATATTAATGGTACATGAGCCTACATTCCCCCAAGAAAAAAAAGCGACAGAGAAATGATACAGACAGATGTACATACGAGGAACGCGAAAAGAGAAATCAGAATATTACATACATAGAATTACATATTAAATTCCTGGAGTGAAATGGCCGACTTCGACTTGAGGCATACGCGTAGCTAACCCGGCTTTGAGAGGACCGACTCCAGCAGTCAAGTTGAGGAATAAGGATTGAAGCCCCCACTGCTCAATAGTGCGGAGTTGTGGGAGGGAATTAATAGGGGAGAAGAAATCATTCTAGTCAAGGGATCGGTATTTAGCGGAATATCGGAAAACTAGCAAGGCAGCACTTACAACAACGTTGGTCTGGGGATTATAATTGCGGAAGTCGCTTACGAGCGTGCCACGGAGGAGAATTTGGGAACACTCGATCTTCAACGTTTGGAGATTGGGAAACTTGAATGCGAAGTAGGCGAGAAGATCCGGCGTAAGGCTCTCAACCTTGGCTTGGAAATGCAGAATGTCGACTACTGGTTGTGCGAAGAACTGTGGAAAGAGCTGACTGATTTGCGTCGTCTCCAGCGCACGGTCTTCAAGATACAATGTTTCAATATCAGGATGCATAGTCAGGAATTGAGTGACGATCGTAAGAGGGGCTCGTAGGGGTCGTAATGCAACTCCGAGACCACGGAGTAGGGGCAAGCGCTCGGGAATAGAACCCAGGATGTTCTGGATCCAATTGAAGCAGCTATGGCGGCTGGGTGTCCATCGCATCACGCAACGACTCGTAAAGAGATCCATATGATTCAAGGTCTTGGAATGCTTCATCACGAACTGCACGAAGGACATGGGCTCGGGAAGGTGCCCGCCTTCAAACGGAATGGAGAGGGAAATTTTCCGTAGGGAAGGGAATACCCCCATGTGGTCGAATATGTAACAGAGGTTGAGGTTCTGGGAGGTGAATGTGGAGGTGAACGTCAACGACTGCAGCGAATCCTTGAGATTGTTGACAAATACGAGGAAACCATCATGGGCATGATTGATTTCCTGCTCTGGCTGTCCGGCTGTTGTAAAATGAAACGTGAAGCTTTGAAGGTATGGAAGGCGGACGCTGGCAAGCGTGAAGACGAGAGAGAGGGGTACTTTGACTGTGAGGCTCGTCAAATGGGATTGCCAGCTCGCCAGAGGAGGTGCGAGAAATGCGCGAAAGAATTCGGGATGGAACTCGCGAGTGTCGTCCCAATCGATCTCGAATTCCTGCAACATCGACATTGACTTGAAAGCGGTGGTGATCCTAGTCGTGTCCTTCCGCAGTCGCTTTTGAAGTCGGGCCTCTGCTGTTTTCCGTGTGTAGTGGGGATCTACCGCGACTTCCATGAATCGCACGATGGCTTTCTCTGTGATGCTCCGGGGAGAATTCGTATGTGGATGGACGAGCCATGGTCGAATTTTGACTTTCTTCACATAGCGCCCTACGT